TTGGTTATCCGAGAAGCAGAAAATGCTCATTGCTCAAGGAGCATCTGGAAACCTCTGGAGGACCCTTGGGTTTCATGGAACACAAATTAAGAAAGGCTGGGTTGAGATATAAGTCTGCTTGCTTCACCTACAGTCTGTCCCAGTAAGTGTGTAGTGAAGGGGTGGACAAACGATTATGGAATTCAGGAGCCAGTCTTATCCATTTCAGGAGCCAGCAGGATTTTTTTAGGAGCCAGCTCCATTGACAACTGCTAGTATGATAGTCATTGGGAAGAATGCTCGTTACATTTGTGGTCATTGGGAATTATACCCGCCTCCACCTTGCAGATAGCAGAAAATGCACATTGCTCACGGAACCTTTAGCAACCTCGGGAGGAGTCTTGGGTTCCTCAGAACCCAGGTTGAGAAAGGCTGTGTTAAGGGTTAAGTCTGGTTGCTTTACCTACCATCCGCCCCAGTGAGTGTGTAGTAAATGGTTAAAGAAGCCTTTCTCAACCTTTTTAACAAGAGGGAACCCTTGAAATAACTTTCATGTCTCAGGAAACCCCTGCTAATAAGAGGCAGACATTGCTCATTGGTCAAGGAACCGCTACCAACCCAGAGGAACCCTAGGGTTCCATGGTTTCAATATTGAGAAGCAGGGTTAAGGGATAAGCATGTGCAAAATATCATAAAATATTTGGATACATATCTCATGCTTCTAATGATCTGCTGATAATATTGAACGGAGAAGGGTACTGTAGATTTCTGAAGATCTCCAAAGGCATAATTCATTTTATTCCCCCGCTACTGAGCCTTTCAATCATCCTATTTGTAGCACTTTGATTTTAATGTGATGCAAATGAAGTGATTGTTAACTAGAGGTGAAATGACTTAGTGGCATGAGATTAAACTCACCCAAGGAGCATAGCAATAAAGTGTTATTTGTGGCAGTTGAGAGAGCTGTAAATGGTACTTTACACTGCAGTGCTGAGAATCAGTGGTAACTTTATTGTGGGGGACTTCCACAGATAAGGATATATATATTGATGTTTGTCTAACAAACAGTGATTTCACACCTGTCAGATGTTGTTTACAAACACAGTTTTGATATTATGCCTATTTTATTTTAATGTGTATGTTGATATCTAGATGTTGATATTACATCGTATATGAATATTTTTCTATTGCATGGTTCAATACATCTGAAAATATTATAGACTTCACTTGCTGTTAACAGTCATACTGCAATTGTTGCTGTCAATGTTTGATAAGCATTAGTCATACGTGTATTGTTTATTCTTATCTGGGATTAGCAGGAAGAAATATTAATGGGCACTAAGTTACTGCCTCAGGGGGGTTTCTAGAGCAGTGTTTCTTAACCTTTTTTTAGTCACGGCACTCTTTAAAAGGATGCAAAATCTCAAGGCACACGGATCTAAAATTTAATGTAAGAAAACAATGTGTGGACACTCCAAAATTCATACCAGACTCTTATCCCAGATTTGCATCTGGTATGGATTTTAGGGGGGACCCCACACAAAAAAGGG